TACGATTTTTCAAATAATTAAAAAAAAGATAAAAGTGCAATAATCATTTATACATGATAGGTTATGTTTTATGTAATTAATTATGCTTATTTTATCCGATTTCACAAAGTATTTTTCTTTTCCCTTAAGGAATTTGCCATATACTTTAGGCAGAACAAGGGCAAATTATAGATTTTATTTATTTGCTTGTGATTAATTCTTTTACTTTGTCATTTGTCATTGATCAGTATATAAATAGATGCGCCATTGATGCCCTGACTGATAATAACTCTACTGCACATCTAATATTGTCCGGTATATCCACTGAACCATCCATATATACAACCCTCAACGACACCTTTTCCACCCACCCCTTTTAGCATAGCAGAAGGCGTGGTACAGGGATCAATTCTGGGACCATATGTTTTTACACCTTTCCTTAATAGCCATGCCCAAGATCAAATCCTGTCAAGCAGCACTGTTCGCAGATGATATGGTGCTTCTATCTTCCTGGAGAACAAGCGCCATTACTAACAGGCTGAACAACTAAATTTAAAAAAAAAAGTTGCTTCTGTCTAAGGAGGAAACTACTGATGATTAACAAACCAAAATTTGAACCATTCCTATTCACAAAGAGGCGCCGCACAATAAGAGCGATAATCAACATTAATGGAACTCTCAATCCACGGTCAAAAAAGGTAAACTACCTGGGCTTAATTCTGGATAGAAGACTTCACTTTGGCTTACATTGGATAGCAAAAACCAAATTAACCAACAGAATTCTGTTCCCTGGCTAAGGAATCAGGGATGTCAATGCACAATAAGCGCCTTATTTACAAGGTGATCGTCCAACCCATGCTATACACTTGTCCTGCATGGAGTTTTACAAGAAAAACGAATCTGCTAAAAATACAAATTATGCAGGACAAATTCTTAAGTCTAGTCACGTCATATCGCCGACGGACCTCGTTAGATCAACACCACAACGAATCTGATATATCCATAAATACAATTGTATTGAGTATAAATGTTAATTAAGTCTTGTGAAGCTTGATAGACACGGCGTAAGGTGCTTAACGTTGGAAAATCCACATGATATATTTCAGAATCCCCTGTTACATCGGGAAAGATTCATCAAGAATCGATTCGACCCTTTCTACTCAATAAATTTCGTATGGGGAAATCTCTTCTAATGGCGATGAGTGATGGAGTTACCGCTTCAACCAAAAGGGCTGAGGTGGGTGTTGACATCATTAGGCACCAACAAAACCCCAATTTTGAACTGTACTTGGCCCAACATTATCAAGTGGATTTAGCAGCGACGGAAAAGAAAGAAAAGAAAGGGGAGAACTTTATACTGCGAGCGGACTCCGACGCTGTATTAGTCCAATCTTTGCACAAAAAAAGGTCGACCTTACAAAAGATCGGGTAATTATGGTTTTTTTAATATGTTGTTAGGACCTATGCACAACAGAAAGAAATCAAGTTTGGAACTTCGAAGGTCACCGGCAGGCGGCACAGTGGCCAAAAAACCTCGTAATTTTCGCAATTTTTTCATACAAATAAATACATTTATTTAAATACATTTACATACATTTACATACATTTACACAATAATAAATATTCATTCTATTTAATAGATGGATATTGCATATTATCAACCTGCATATAATAACAAACTAATCTAATTTGGATCGATGGGGTACCTTTTTTATGAATATTCCGCCATCGAACCAAGTCACGTACACAACTCGAGAGGCAATGTGGATGCTATTTCACCATCAGCCTCTCCCCATTCACTCTAATAAATATTAGAGTTACTCACAGAAACCCAAAACACATATTTTGAAGGCTAAATACAATAAAATGAAAAGCTCTCATGCTTACCTACAAAACAGTAGTCGAATACATTAAACGAGAACATTGATAGAGTATATGAAGAAATCAAAGCGTGTCGAAAAAAGGAAATATGGCGCTGAGGAACGAAGTAGCCCGCCTAATTGAAGTGGATAGAAGGCGTGAAAGGCAAGTGGAAGCTTTAGATAATTTGGATAATCCCAAGTCCTGAAGACGATCTCAATAAAGATCGAAACGTTGGCACGACAAAGAAAATATTTTTCTAAAACCTACGTCACGCCAGACCGCATCTAACGATCTCCAAATAATCATTAACTAACGGTCACTAAACACCACACATAATGAATTACTTAAATGCAATAAACCCAATAAAAATGGCTTAAATAGAATAATAGGAAACAAGTATACACATAAGAATAAATGATTATTTGGAGACCAAACATATTGAGAATAGTAGCTGTTCGATCATTTTTACATTACGTTATAACAAAAATTAACTTCTCAAACTATCAAAATGTAAAAATGAAAACACCGGTTTATCATAGTTTTATATATATATATATATATATAAAGACAACAATCAACGACAACAACAACGGAATCTATATTACAATAAAACTATATTTCATTTGATCGTAGTTTTAAAGAAACAAAGGCTAGACAAATAAATAAAAAAAATATACAGACAACTTTTTTCACTGGGGAAGTTTCTACTTAATAAAAGTGAGTGTGCTGTTCAATCTTTTTAAAAGCTAACTGTGAGTAGGAAGTATCCTTTTAAAATGTTTCTACTTACTTTGAAAAATATTCTACACCAATAAAATTATCCTTTATTATTATTGAATTGAAAGTTTTCTATTAGAATTAGTTACATATACAGAGTTTTTCAGAGTTAAAGAGGTTTCATTCATGCAACAACACAATGGCGGCTAATCAGGGTTCAGTTTAACCTTGATGAACCCTTTCTTTCCCTTTGGAAGTTCATATTTTGTCAAAATAAAATCATAATAAATCACAGATTGCATTAACATCGTTTCTCTGTAAAATTTAAAAGGATGTGAACAGAGCTCGAGGGGCGATGTGGTTGCTATTTCACCAACAGCCCCTCCCCATTCATTCTAATAAATACACTTACAGAAACACAAAACCATGTTTTGACGGCTATATACAATAAAAAAAATTCCCAATTTCCCTAAAAAGGGGAACAGGGGACCCTGAAATTCGCTACCGTGTCCGAGAGCCATTCTTAAATCTGGCGGCCTACCTACACGCTCTCTGTATGGAACCATGACACACATATTATGTGGGACACATCGAGCAACCTTTATCTGCATAAGGGGCTCCTGCGAGGGCTTTGGCCCAAAAGCAGATGAATTTTCGCACTTTTTTTTGGTTTTCGCGAAATATGTCCTAAATTATGCATCCTACCAAAAATTCCCTTTTCCTGTTTTCTTTTTAGAAGAAAACAAATTTGCTACAATGCAAGGTCAGAATGAGCTCTGCGCGTTTGATAGATACAGCTCATAAAAAAAAAGGGCAAAATTTTAGTTTTGGTCATGTTTCATCCTACGAGAAAAGTCATTTGGAATAAGTTATAACAAATTTATTTAGCTTTGTTTTGAGCGCAAAAGGACCTCTAGGACCAATAGTTTCCCCTCTAATGGCCAAATACTAAAATTCGTGAAAAATGGTTTTCAGGAAAAATTGATATTAACAGTTCCAGATTACAAACGTCAATTTTATGATTAAAATGTAAGAAATAGAGAGGTTACCTGGATTTTTAGAATTGATTGGGTATGTGGTCCGGTATGGCAATTAATAATTACGATGCTATATTTTACATATGTCAAGCTTTCCACTCTACATTTGGACAACCTGAGGGCAATATGCATAGTTATCAATAAAAATAACAATGTAAGAAACTTTTAAAAAGTGTAGAGAGTTTTTCAGTTTTTCTTCCTCTGTTGGCCAAGTTTTACTATTTTGTACCAAATATCGTATCAAAATAGATCTTTCTATGTCGAATCTGTTATTACGTGACTCCAGGTTTGGTTATTGTAGCCACAAGGGCAGGATTATTTATTATATTAAATTTTGCAAGATATGATCTATTTTTTCTATGGTTTGTCATGGAATTGTCACCATTGTGGATGTGAAGGAATGTTTTATATCTAATCGAAGGCGAGGTTAATAGTCGTAAAAAAGCGTTTTGTAATTTCTGCATCGTTGGTATTTTTCCATTCTTCCTCTCATTTTTTTATGTTCTCCTCCTAAGTATGAATTTTGACGTAGGTTATAGGAACTTCAGCGAAACATATGGTTATTTCCTCAACCTTTGCTGCCTGTTTGCGGTGAAATCGGCCACCCCGTTCCCCACTTCACCAGAATGTGCCTTTATCCAATAAATTGTAATGTTCCAACCAAAATCATGTTGCAATATTTTTAGTTTATTCGTGATTTCTTCGACTAATTTATGATGGTTTCTATGGTCTTGAATCATTGTTGGAGACATCCCGTTTCATTCTCTAGATTAAAACCCATCATCTACTATAAATTTATTGTTCTTCAATAAATTGATAAGCAATAGTTAATCTACAGTTACTGTATAATATACATCTATATTTGTTATTTGCACAAATTGTTATTTATTTGCATTATTAATAGTATGCTATACTTTTAATTTATTAACCAATTTTGATAAGTAAAATGAAACATGTACAACCAACTGTATTCTATTACATTAAGAACTCATAATTCTTACTCCTGTAGTCTGACAAAGAGAGAGCAGGCAGAAATGAAGTTATTTAAAAAAAATCTACTTCTAGTTTAAAAATAGGGAGATATTTTGTTGGATCCATTTGTAATTTCAAAATACTAATTGGAATAAAATTTATTTATTTTTTTGTCTAACTAAACATAAATATTGCTTTATATTTATCCTTTTTTCCCTACGCATTCGGCGTTTTTGGACTGACAATCGTTTTTTTATTCTCTCCCCCAATCCACCCCTTACGTATTTGTTATGTTTTTATTGTTTTTGTTTCTCTTTGTCTGTTCCTCCACTTCAGCGTATTATTGGAGTGGGATTAGCCGATCCCCCTCCCCTCGCGAGACGGCGCGGTCCGCCTGGTCCTCGCTCTTTAGTCGGCGTCTTCTCAGTCGTGTCCCAGACGCCGGAGGGGTGAGTCTCACGCTGACATGGAGGAAACGATCGCGGAAACACGCATCTGAGGTTTGTTAAAAAAAATAAAATAAAATTTCTACATAACAACCTTCTGAGGAACTAATAATAAAAATAAAATAAAAAATCATGCATCCAGGCTTTTTTTAATATATATAAAAAAAGATTTTCCTATTAAAATAGCGAGGCATTGCGGATCCCTACATGCATGAATAATTGTATAAAGAATGGTTTGTAACAAAAGCAAGTCCAAAACATTTTTTCTCCGGAGAAAAACGAAACTGGGCGAACCCCAAAAAGGAAAAATTTCGTTGTAAAAAANTATATGGAAAAAACAAGAAAAGCTGAGTTTTCGGAGATGTAAATTTAAAAAAAGAAAAAAACACCACAGAATTTCTTTGTTTAAGCTTGATCCCCCCCCCCAGAACCGAGCGAGACAGGACGGACCCAAAAAATGATTAGTTTCTTTATGGAAGAAAAAAAATGTAGAATAGTATAGTTTCAGACCTCTAAAACCAAAGTGCACTGGGTTTCTAGATTTTTGTATTTTTTTGAGAGATATTAATAACTTAATCTGTAGGTAAAACGGCGAAACTGAACGATCCCAAGATCAAACAGATTGAGGGTTTTAAAAAATAGTTGAGGATTTTTATTTTTTTATTGCTTTTTACAAGAATCGATTCTTTTATTGGAAAAAGGTGAAACTGGACGGACCCTAAACAACATATTGAGGATTTAATAAGAAAAGTTGAGAATTTTGTTTTGTTTGGCTTAGATACTATGTTACAAGGAGCTAATCTGGACGGACCCAAGGGTAACAGATTGAGGATGAAAAAGACAAGTTTGGGATTTTTTCTTTAATTGCTTTTGCCAGGATAGATTCTTTTATCGGAAAAAAGCGAAACTTGGCGGACCCAAAAACAACAGATCGAGGAGTTAAAAAAATTCAAGATGTTTTAAAATTCCTATCTTACAATGATCGATTTTTCATCGTAAAAAAGGCGAAACTTGACGGTCTCAAGAACAATAGATCGAGGGTTATAAAAAATTGTTGTGGATTTTTTTATTGCTTTTTACAAGGATTGATTCTTTTATCGGAAAAAGGCGAAACTGGACGGACCAAAAACAACTATTGAGGATTTAATGAGAAAAGTTGAGGATTTTTTGTTTCATTGCTTTTTGTAAGGGATATAGCGACCGTCCCAAGAACAACAGATTGATAATTTAAAAAGAAAAGTTGAGGATTTTTTTTATTGCTTTCTGCAAGGATAGATTCTTTTATCGGAAGAAATCGAAACTGGACGGGTCCAACAACAACAGATTGAGGATTTAATGACGGAAGTTGAGGATTTTTTAATTTGATTGCTTTTGACAAGGGGTAAAGCGAATTTGGACGGTCCCAAGAATAATAGATTGAGGATGTAAAAAGAAAATTTTTGGATATTTTTCTTTAATTGCTTTTTGCCAGGATTGATTGTTATATCGGAAAAAAAATCGAAACTTGACGGACCCAAGAACAAACAAATCGAGGGTTTATTAAAAAGAACAACACACAAACACAAAAGAAGTTGAGATTTTTTTATTGCTTTTTACAAAGAGAGATTCTTTTATCGGAAAAAAAGCGAAACTGGAAGGACCCAAGAACGACAGATTGAGGATTTAAAAAGAAAAGTTTAGTATTGTTTTCGATTGCTTTTTACAATGATTAATATTCTTTTGTCGGAAAAAAGCAAAACTTGACGGACCCAAGAATAACAGATCGAGGATTTAAATAATAGGATAATAGGAGGAACAGGATTTAAATTTATAAATGTTCAGGATTTTTTAAAAATCCTATCTTACAAAGATTTTTTTTATTGGACAAAAAGCTAAACTGGACGAACCTAAGAACAACAGATCGAGGATTTAAAAAGAAATGTTCAGGATTTTTTAAAATTCCTAGCTTACAAGGATTGATTTTTTTTTATCGGACAAAAAGCAAAACAGGACGAACCCAAGAACAAGAGTTTGAGGATTTGAAAAGAAAAGGTGAGGATTGGTTTTACTGCTTTCTACAAGGATTGATTCTTTTATCGGAAAAAAGTGAAACTTGACGGACCCAAGAACAAACCAATCGAGGGTTTATTAAAATTAACAGTTGAGGTTTTTTCGTTATTGCTTTTTCAAGAAGACATTCTTTTATTGGAAAAAAGCGAAACTGGACGGACCCAAGAACAACAGATCGAGAATTTAAACATAAAATTTCAGTATTTTTTCGACTGCTTTTTACAATTATTAATATTTTTTTATCGGAAAAAAAGCGAAACAGAATCTGACTGTAGAAAAATTTGCTGAAATTAACCCGACTACCTTTTAAACATTCGCGTCTCACCCGTTTCGAGACGGCTTTTAATTTTCGAATGTTAAAACCTCTTTGACGAGGGGTGGTGGTAATTGTTTTGAACATAATATTTCACTTTTAAGTAATGAAAAGTTTGTGAAGGTGGATGAAAGGGTGGGGTTCAATAAGTCCGATGGCAATATCGGGACATCAAAGGGGTCTTAGCTACTGTCACGCCTTGCGAGGAAACAAAACAAAATACAAAACCTGTACACGCTCCCAAAAGGTCCCTTGGTCCGATTATATTAAAATCTTCGGGAAAAGGATTAATATTAAACATCCGAAGGGGGGTTGATTAAAAGCTTTTTATTTGTACGATAAAAATTGTTTTTTAATTGGGGAAAACTTCCGGGAATTTTCGCCCATGCTCTTGAAGGCTTGGAAGGGTCGCTTTTTTTCTCAAGCAGGAAGGTTGAAAAGAAAACTATCGAATAAAAAAAGAAGATCAGATCGCCAGTTAAAGGGTGGGGTGGTGAATAAATCTTTCCCTTCCGATATATATTTTTTTTCTGGGGTGGCCTACAGTTTCGGAAAATTTTTTTGACAAGAGCGTAAAGCGTGAATAATGAAATCAAGACCCGGGAGGGAATTTGAGTCGGTGGAAGCTGAATAAAAGATGCCCGGGGGCGGAAAGAGCCGCTTCCTACTTTTGGTCTTCCAAAGGGGTTGGAACGCAAACACACAACCCACCTAAAAAAAAAAAAAAAACCCTAGAAACTTCCTATATTTTAGAAACCTGCATGTTCTATGTGCAGGAATGAAGGGTGAGGAAACCCTGGTTACGATAAAAATGGGTTATAGATATAATTCCATCCTTAAAGCTCATGGGCTTATCTCTGGTCACTGTGGTACTTTTATGTTAAAAAAAAATTACTACTGTGCACTTTTAATTTTAAAAAATCGTTCTTTACAGAGTCAAACGCGTTTTTTATCAATCCAGAATTAACTGATTACACACATAATTAAGCATAAAGCATATAAGATAAAAAATCAATCGCTGTGTACTACCACGAAGGACAGACATCGTTTTACAAAAAGAGAAAATATTTTATAGGAAGGTAATACTCTTGTTAAAAGAAAATGGAGGTTTGTCAATATGGCATTAATAGTCGTCAGAATTTTGTTTTTTTAGGAAGGTTATTATAAATTATGATGAAAACAAGTCAGAGTTAATATTTCTTTTTTATACAAGTTCTTCTTCTGATTTAAAATATGGAAGGAAAAAAGGCTGAAATCAAATATTTTGGTTATTCGAGGTTAGGCAGGTACCACTCCTGTTAAAAGAAAATGGAGGTTTGTCAATATGGCATTAATAGTAGTCAGAATTTTGTTTTTCTAGGAAGGTTATTATAAATTATGATGAAAACAAGTCAGAGTTAATATTTCTTTTTTATACAAGTTCTTCTTCTGATTTAAAATATGGAAGGAAAAAAGGCTGAAATCAAATATTTTGGTTATTCGAGGTTAGGCAGGTACCACTCGTATTATAAGAAAATGGCAGTTTGTCATGATGGGATTAATAGTCGTCAGACTTTTGTTTTTCTAGGCAGCTTATTATAAATTATAGTGAAAACAAGTCGGAATTAGAATTTATTTTTTATAAAAGTGGTTCTTTTTGTATTAAACTATGTATGAAACAAGACAAATATCAAATATTATTGATTATTACTAGGTTAGAAAGGGGATAATCGTGTTATAACAAAATGGTGGTTTGTCAAGGTGGCATTAACAGTTTTCGGACTTTTGTTTCTTTCTTCTTCTTCTTTTATAATAAATTGTGAAGAAAAAAAATCAGAGTTGGCAATTCATATTTTATACAAACGGTAAATATTAAAATAAATATTAAAACAACCATGTTAGGTTTAAAAAAGTCAAAAAACAATTATCGAAATCTTGTCAAACCGCCATTTATCATAACACGAGTATAACCTTCTTAACCTAGAATAAATAAATTTATTGATTTAGTCCTTTTTTCCTTCTCATTTAAATATAAAAATTAACGTTTTTATAAAAAATAAACATTAACTTTGACTTGTTTTCTGTACAATTTATTATAAAGCAGCATTCGTAGAAAAAATGGCGGGTGATCGGTATTGAATTAGTGCTTATAAACCGTTCCATTCTCATACTCATAAGTTCATATTTTGTCAAAACAAAATCAGAGTAAATCATCACTGTTTTCTACAATAATGTAAAGTTTACGATGGTTTGTCTATAAAACGATGTGAATCAAGTTTAAAATATTATGGACATTTTTTAGATTAGGAAGGTTTTCCTGTTTACAACAAAATGGCGGCTACTCAGCGCTCAATTTGACCCTTGTTAACCCTTTCTTTCTCTTTGGATCTAGTTTAAACCTTTCAAATAGAATTATAAAGTTTGAAATACGATTCTGTGATATTTGCCAAGTACTTTTTAAAATAAGTAAAATTAAGAAAACAGGTCTGTAGCATGGAATTCGTGTATTGTTATCCGTTTGAAAAAGGATTATCCTCTGTTAGCTTGACGCTAAATAGGATTAATCCGGTGGAAATCCATTAGGTCGGTTTCACCTTTTTTTCGACTTCGAATCCGGCAGCGTTTGCATTTGCATGCGGCGATATTTCACGGCCGGAACCAGTTTGACGTTGGATTTGGATTAATTCCCCAGCGTCGAATTATTAGAGGAAAA